AACCCGCAGTGCGGGCCTATTTCACATCCTCCCCGTTCATTTCGCACGAATAGTCGACTCCGGGGCCCAGATATCCGATGATATCGAACTTCACTAGCCTCGTTATTGTTCTTTTTCTCCCCTAACCTCTGGATCACTGTACTCGGTGTGCCACACAATTGCTCAGTGACCACCAGAACCTTATCTACTTAAGTACATACTTACTAAATACCTTGGTAGGTACATACGATGTAGGGCTGGTGCTCTATACATCAGCAGAACATACAAGCAATGGCAGGAATGAAGTATGAGTTCCTACCTTCCTTCCCAGACTGCCTACCTGAGTTGTTGATGTGATTCGCAATCACTCCCGAGGTCATATGGTCCATGGTCCATGCACCAGGAGAATATTCAACCTGAGAAGGAACTATGGGTTCATACCTTCCCAAGCTCCTTCCCAGGCTTTGATATGAGTATCACAATCACCTGTAAAACATATAAATAGGCAGCCCCCCCCCCCCCCCCCCCGCACCCCAGGTAACTTGAAAATCTCTCTTATTTTTTTCTTCAGCAACAAACAATCATTTTCTTCCTCTTTCATCACATAGTGAGGCAGCGACTAGTCATTGATTATGTAATAGGGCTACATATATCTTCAAGAATTGTTCGATTAGTTACCAGAAGCCCGGTCCCGCCGGCGCAGCCCCTCCGCCTCCGCCACCTCCACCTCCACCTCCGAGGGGCCCCGGCCCGTCTTCGGGCGGTGTCGCTGTATGTACACCACTGTCACATGCATAACTATATATACTAATAGAAGGAATGAAAGAAGAAGAAGAAGAAGAAGAAGAAGAAGAAGACCTTGGCCCGGCTCCGGCGGGAGCTCGAGCGGGTACGAGAGGCCCTTCGCCGGGTGAGTATTTTTCCTTCTCCTTTTCCTCCTTCTCCTCCTCTTCCTTCTCCCTTTCGCTCCCCCCTCCCCCCAACAGATAGGATGGACCGCATCATAGCTAGGCTTCTCTTGGTCAACTCTCTTTTCTAACCCTTTTCTATTCCTCCCTCTTTAAGATGGTTACTAATAACACCAGGCGGAGGAGGCCCACGGTGGCGGCGCAGACGCACAAGGGGGTGGCGCAGATGCCTAAAGGAGGTGGCGCAGATGTATAAGACGGCGGCGCAGATGCACAAGACGGCGGCGCAGATGCACAGGGCGGCAGCGCAGATGCATAAGGGGCAAATATGGCTTTGGATGAATAAGGGCCTTCGGGCATAGGGACTGTTTTCACTTTGACATCATAATGAAACTTGACCATTGGGCCACCCAGTAAAATACTTTGATATATTGCCGTTCCTCGTAATGTGTTTGCTCACTTCCCCTTGAGACGACTGGTCCCGACGAAAGTCGCGCCAAGTTGAAGCCCCTGTCATTGTTGAAGGTGATGGGGTTCGTAGGTCTTAAAAGCGTTGTGTTGTTGATGGCTGGGAAGATTATGATCCGGGTGTTCCTGGGTGCTTTCACACACTTACAGACGAAACCCAGAAGCTGTTAGGCACTGATCATGACATCAGGCCACTGACGTGGCACTATCCTACTTACGAAACCACCTATTCAGTTTACAAGTTAATTAGGAGGTTGGAAGTCCGAGCCTCCCGAGGAGCCAAACGACAGCAGCAATAGTCAGTCAGGGTCAAAAAGTGTATGATTCTTCTAAGTCTGAGGTCCCTATCTGTGTTCAGGCTAATAGAAATGGGCTTTGTCTCTTCTCTGTAAGTACGACCCAGCCACATTTTCAGCGCCATATTCCGCCCGAGGCGCCTAAAGGGGCGGACGACCCCGGCCACTTTGAGACACGATAACAGTCGTTCTCAGCTAGAATACATAGCGGTATCTAGTAATGTGAATGTCTTTTGTTTAGTAACAAGCTAAGTTCCCACAAACCTATGTCCCCCTCTTCTGTGTCCTTCATAACTTGATCCTCTGTTCTCCCCTCTGTTTAGGGATATTCAAGGTCAGCGAAACCGATCATGGACAATACAACATAACCGCATAAGCAAAGAGAGGTAATCGGATAAGCAGGACTCCATAGATTATTCGACAAGAAGTATCTGCTTATTCGAATCGTAGTATGTAGGGTGTAGACCGGTGGCAAGTTCCAATGTGGAGCTAACCTTTGATATGCTCAAGATGTGTATTACAGACAAGACCAGTCCTTGGGTTGAGTCACAGCTCAAGAAGACGGGCTCAGGTATCTTCGGTATAATGGCAGGCCCGACCAAGACGCCATCGTATCAGAAAATGCTAACATTAATGCGGATACTACACGGTTTGTGGCGCGTTCGTGGAGTTGGGGGGTTATCTTTATGGTGGTCTTGTGCAATTGCATTACACAAGGAGAGTTGGGGAGTTAGAATCCGATACTCCCATCTTTGCCAGCCGTCGTCCCAACTTAAGTTAGCATTGTCCTCCTCCAATTCCAGTATATTGACCTCATCGACGGTAAGGGGCTTCTCGGGCCATCGACCGTGTGCCCTCCAGTACTGTATGGCGGAGACAATGCCTGGTTTTCCTGAACTGGGTAACCCTGAGTTTATATGTTTATAGGTGAGAACTACGTTGCTGAGCGCCTCAGTTTCGTGTTCTGTGTGTGTGTGTGTGCGCGGGAAACGCTAGCTGGAAAAGGAGAGATATATCCTCAAGATCCTCCCAATGTCCGCCCGGCGTCAGGCGATCCACAACTCGACAAGATGGAAAACCAAATACACCAATACGCCCTACAACACTTCCATGTCATAGGGCACTCATTCACATACAAACGCCCCTGAAGCTGTCGATGAACTGCTATGCTCCTGCCTGAAGCTATGATGAATATGAGATGTGTCAATGAAGGTTGTTAGTTTAGGGCCAAGAGGCTAACAGTAGTCAGGGAATGTAAAATTAGTCTGAAGAAAGGATGTAAACCCCCTGGATGCTTCGACGTAAATTACGAATTTGGGTTGAGCCGCTAGAGCGGTGTATTTGAAGGGTAATGAGACATATCTATCGTCATGTTGAGGCTTGTGCGGAGGCCTCGCCCCTTATTGTTCTATCTTGCCCTGTTGGGCTATTGTTATCCTTGTGAAATGTAAATTACAGAAGGCAACCATTTATTTACATCCATGGATACGCGGGTGGTCCTGAAGAAACAGTGGTTTGAGTGGACAGATGAAGACTCCTGGTGGATGGATGTACCCATTACAGAGTGTCAACCTAGCTACATATAACTACACTGGGTGGCTATCCATTCCCTTTTCATAGGAGTGGCATTGTTCTCCGTGCCACGCATCTCTAGTTCCTTCTTCCTTCGTCTATCTATATACCTCACGGCAGGTCACAACAGATGTGTTGCGGTTCCATAGGATATGTTTGCTCACACCCCTTGAGATGACTGGTGCCGAGGAAAGTCGTATTAGATTGAAGCTCCTACCATCGTTGAAGGTGATCGGGTCTGGAGGTCTCAAGAGTGTCGTGATGATTCGGCTATTACCGGGCGCTTTCCGACACTGATGAAATGCCTCTGAGACCCTCTCCGCGATTCTCACCGGCAGGTGACATTATTCTACTCGTTAGTACATGCCAAGAATATGTAAGTGTTGAGATACTTCTACCGGTGATAGTACTATTATTGACAAAGGAGCCACTGCACTAGGGAACGTTCCGTGCGGTGTCTAACTCTGATAGCGAAAGATGGCTAGCGGAAGAGACGGGACACCATGTTGACGATGGCTTTGGCAACCCGAGGCATTCCCAAAGTGCATTCATTCCCTTCGCTCCACCATCGACGAGGCCCTCAAGTTTATGACCGACGCCCGATTTTCCTCCTTTCCACATCCGACGTGAAAGAACAACGCCTTGGCATTTCGCCCTGACCTTCGAGCTGGGACCAAATCCACCTGCATGTTCAAAAGAAAGCGGGTTTACCGAACGAATGAATGGAAAACGTACCACGAACACGACCCGGTACCAATGGTGGGACACACACGAGGACAATCATCGTGAAGTAGGATCAGCTGCCGACGAGCGTCTGTGTGATCTGGGGCAACAGTTCAACAGGTAGCAAAAGCGGCCGCCACGAGATCAACCACGGTAACAAGGAAGGTTATGTTTCTCATCCCGCTCGGAGGAGAACCGGTCAGCAAAGAGATGTCAGAAGTTGTCGAGATCTTTCGCTGTGGGATTGGGAAAGTTAAGATAAAAGTGAGACAGGTCACAGCAGCCTGGTTTTTGAATACCTACTACCTACTACCTACTTAAGTACTTGGGTACCATCAATTCGCAGATAGAAACGGCGAGGTACGGTGACGTATGCGCAGGCCAGAAAATTGATGGACGCGATTTCCTCCTTCTCAGTTTCGCGCTTTCCAGGAAACCTCACAATACCCCGGATTTCCTCCCGCGTGGGTCCATCCCGTCCGGGAAAACTTAAAATGAACCTCATACGGAGAGCACACACGGCGGTGCGGAAATACTCACGTAGAATTGTGAGATCTTTGTCACCTTGAATTCCCTTGATATAAAACAGAGAAATCCCTAGCCGAACGACATCCAAAACCCTGCGGCGCGCAGAAAGCAATTCAGATCACGTGTGGATTCCGGTTACTGCCAGCCTACGCCGTCTGGTATCCCGCCCCCCAGAATTGTATGACTAGAATACCAATCCCTGTAGTTTAGATCTTTCCTCCAAAAATCCATCATCCATTTACGAAGTAGTCATCAGCATATGTGCAACCCTGAACGGTAGCGCTTAGCTGTGACTAGCCACGTAGCACACACGTGCGTTAGTTAGATAAGACAAAAGCCACCAAGCCATCAAGGGGGCCCCCTGCGCCCCCCCTCCCTTATCGTATGATATTGGTTGGCCACGTATCTGTGCCCCTCATCGGCGCCCCCTCAAGCTAGCTGGGATATATACCCCAATAACGATGGCACCTTTCAACAAACACCCTACATTTTCGGCTCATCCTCCGATATCGTGTAGGACAGTTACGAACCTTTGGCGCAGTGGTAGCGCGTGTGATTCCAGAGCGCGACCTGTTTCGCAGGTTGCCTCGGGGTATCCACAAGGTCATCCGTTCAAATCGGGTAAGGTTCATCATCTTTCCTTTTTGCTGTTTTTTTTTGGATGTTTCCTGTAGAGATCTATTATGGCGGCGAGAGATCAAACTGGAGGAGAGTCAAGTTGGATCCTACTTATGCACTCTACCTAGGTACTTATGCTTATGCATTATACTTTATGCCACAGCCAATGGAGCCAAAGAAGTTTGTCAGATTAATTTGTGAGTTATCTCAGGTACGAAGAAACGTATAAAATAATCGTATTTTGGTTTTTTTGGTTTGTTGATTCTTCTATTGGTGAAAGAGTTTGGTGATGGCTGAATCTCGCGATCTGATTGGTACGGAGGAGCTAGTCCGGCTTTGAGGGTGCGATCTAGTGGTTCGAGCTTTTTGGTTGGTTGTGGCTGTGTTGTGGCTGGCTGGCTGCTGACCCTGTGGCTGAAAGAGTAAGGAAATTCATCTGACTACTTCGGTAAGTCGTTGGCTGTAAACAGACTTGCGCCACACCAAGCCTCGTGACCTTCAGCCACATTTGACCCGACTCGCCGGTGGTACTATGTAACGACATTGCTTTCAGGAAGACCTTGGCTCTGGTCAAGCTTCCACTCTCGATTTCATCGTCACCATCGATCCATCCCCCCAACGTTGGAGCCCTACACCACCCATCATGGCTCCATCGAAGCAGTCCATGTTCCGCTCTGCGGACATGAGCATGGTGCAGCTTTATATTTCCAATGAAATAGGCCGCGAATGCGTAAACGCCTTGGGAGAACTTGGACTGGTCCAATTTCGAGATGTACGCTGTCATCATCCCCTACCGGCACCCAGCTGGGCTCGAGAGGCATTCGTGATACTAACAGGTTATATAGCTCAACGGTAATGTCAGTGCATTTCAACGCACTTTTACACAGGAAATTCGACGACTTGACAATGTGGAACGACAGCTTCGTAAGTGCTAACCAGCCTTTCCATAGACTTGACCTGGCGCGGCCTTTTCTTGACTAACAAACATTATTGCGTCTAAGGGTACTTCCATACCCAGATGGAGAAATCAAATATCCCGCTCAGGAAACTAGACCTCGATGTTGAGACACTCGCTGCGCCTACCACCACCGAGATCGACGAGCTCGCCGAACGCAGCCAAAGCCTCGAACAACGTATCTACCAGCTCAACGACAGCTACGAGACTTTGAAGAGGCGAGAAGTCGAGTTGACCGAATGGCGATGGGTTCTCAGGGAGGCTGGCGGCTTCTTCGACCGTGCCCACGGCAATGTTGAAGAGATTCGAGCCTCAACTGAGGAGGACGATGCTCCTCTGCTTCAAGATGTCGAACAACATAACCAGGCCGCCGATGTCGAACGCTCCTTCTCTGGCATGAATATCGGTTTCGTTGCTGGCGTCATCAACCGTGACCGGGTCGCAGCTTTTGAGCGTATCCTGTGGCGAACACTACGGGGTAACCTCTACATGAACCAGTCCGAGATCCCGGAGCCTCTGGTCGATCCGTCAAACAACGAGGCTATCAACAAGAATGTGTTCGTCATCTTTGCCCACGGCAAGGAGATATTGGCCAAGATTCGAAAGATCTCCGAGTCTATGGGTGCTGACATCTACAACGTCGATGAGAATTCTGATCTCCGTCGGGATCAGATGCACGAAGTCAACGCTCGTCTGAATGATGTTCAGAATGTGCTGCAGAACACCCAGCAGACCTTGGAAGCCGAGCTCACCCAGATCGGCCAATCTCTAGCTGCTTGGATGATCCTCGTGACCAAAGAGAAGGCTGCATACCAGACGCTTAACCTCTTCTCGTTCGACCGCCAACGAAGGACCCTCATCGCCGAAGGCTGGTGCCCAACGAACGACCTGCCTCGTATCAGGTCCACCCTCCAGGATGTCACCAACAGGGCAGGTCTCTCGGTCCCATCCATCATCAACGAGATCCGAACCACCAAGACTCCACCTACCTACTTGAAGACGAACAAGTTTACAGAGGCTTTCCAAACTATTATTAACGCCTACGGAACGGCGACCTATCAGGAGGTCAACCCTGCGCTTCCCGCCATTGTTACCTTCCCTTTCTTGTTCGCTGTCATGTTCGGTGATTTCGGCCACGCCGTAATCATGCTTCTGGCCGCTCTGGCCATGATTTACTGGGAGAAGCCTCTGAAGAAGGTCAGCTTCGAACTCTTCGCCATGATCTACTACGGGCGTTACATCGCTCTTGTCATGGCCATCTTCTCCCTTTACACCGGTCTCATCTACAATGATGCCTTCTCCAAGCCCCTGCCCCTCTTTAAGAGTCAATGGGAATGGGACGTCCCCGAAGGGTGGAAAGAGGGTCAGGCGCTTACGGCCAAGCTTAGGGGCGACTACCGCTACCCCTTCGGACTCGATTGGAGGTGGCACTCCGCGGAGAACGATCTGCTCTTCACCAACAGTTACAAGATGAAGATGTCCATCATTCTCGGTTGGGCACATATGACCTACTCTCTCTGTCTCTCGCTGTACAATGCCAGACACTTCAAGAAGCCGATCGACATCTGGGGCAACTTCGTTCCGGGGATGATCTTCTTCCAGTCCATCTTCGGCTACCTTGTCGTCTGTATCATTTACAAGTGGTCCGTCGATTGGAGCGCACCCGATGCCGGCCCCCCTCCCGGACTGTTGAACATGTTGATCTACATGTTCCTGCAGCCCGGCACATTGGACGTCCAGTTTTATAGAGGTCAAAAACAGGTGCAGGTTATGCTCCTGTTGCTCGCTTTTATCCAGGTTCCTATCCTACTGTTCCTCAAGCCGTTCTATCTGCGATGGGAGCACAACAAGGCTCGCGCTAAGGGCTATCGCGGCATAGGCGAACACTCGAGAGTCTCAGCGCTTGATGACGAGGACAGCGACGGTCACTACGCAGGTAACGGACGCCCTAGCGTGGACACTGATGATGGTGAAGGTGTCGCTATGATCGCACACGGGGGTGACGACGAGGACGAAGAGGGTCATGGCGAATTTGAATTCAGTGAGATCATGATCCACCAAGTCATCCACACCATTGGTAAGCTCCCATCTTCATGTATTGCAGAGCGCTACCGCTAATCATATACCAGAATTCTGCCTCAACTGTGTCTCCCACACCGCTTCATACCTGCGACTTTGGGCTTTGTCTCTTGCCCATCAGCAGCTCAGTGTCGTCCTCTGGGACATGACTCTTGGGCCATCTCTCACCAAGACTGGCGCTGCCGGTGTCGTTATCATCGTCATTGCATTCTACCTCTGGTTTTTCCTCTCCTGCGCCATTCTTATTGCCATGGAAGGTTGTAGTGCCATGGTAAGTCGAGCCCCTCACTCGCGTTGTTTATCGAAGACGTTCGCTAACCCCTACTCAGTTGCACTCCCTTCGTCTCCAATGGGTCGAGGCCCAATCCAAATACGCTGCATTCAGCGGTCACATGTTCATGCCCTTTTCCTTTACCAGTATGTTAGAAGAAGACGACGGTTTGGCCGAGTTTAGAGGTTAGCCGTTCGCACACGAGAAGGGGGTTGGTTTGTGTATGAGTAGATATATATTGTGTATTACTGAGACAGTACCTAGCTAGAGAAGAGAGATATCAAGCTTCGTTACCGGTGATGTGTGCATTTGTGAAAGATCTCAGAAGACGTATACCACTTCATGAATCGACGTAGAAGCGACCTTGGAACCCATGGACAAGAGACATAATACGAGCAGCGGAATATGTGGTTCGTACATTGCCATATAGACTGAAGCTCGGCAGGTACCATTGGGACCTCAATCCTCCAACCTCCATCGCATAGCATCAATATTTAGCGATGATCCGAATTCCAGGCGCCCATCCCCTGTCAGTCCGGCGGTTGATGTAGCTGCCGCAGTCTGACATCTCTGCTTCAACATCCAATGCAAACACGAGCGCCCGTCATCAAGGAGCCTGCCTGCCTGCCTGCCTGCCTGCCTATCCGTTTTGTCCTTCTATTACGGCAAGAAAACCGGACGAGCTGCAGTCCAGTCCATCCCCGGTGACAACTGCTCGCCGTGAGAAAAAGGCGGAGAAGCCTCCGGAATTTATAGACGTCGAGATTAAGACATGCATGCTTCTTTTCTGCTTTGAGCAGGTGGTAAGCAAATAATGGACCGGGCTAAGTACTTACGAACTTATCATCACAAGTCGTTGAGGGCTGGCTGGGTGGCTTGGGTGGCTTGGGTGGCTTGGGTGGCTTGGGTGGTTGGTTGGTCTCAAAACCAGGTAGTCTATATTATTTATTTAAAGAGGGAGGTCCCATGGATGGTCCGTGGCTGTGGAAGAAGACCTCACCTCGTGGATCGAAGGCGCGGCGTGATGGATAAGTAAGTAAGTATACGAAGTACAGAGGATTGATTTCGATCCCATAGAGACTAGAGACAGATAGCAGATGTGGATGGATGGTGAAATTGTGGATATGAAAAGCTTGCAGGCTTGGATGGATGGATCTACCTAGGTTAACTGCATTTCGGTTTCCAGCGCGTCAGTCAGCAACTGGAGTTCGATACGAGACGAGCAGACACACATTCATTCATTCCTCGATCAGTATGCAAACTCACTCATACTTTAGGCAATTATAATCACCCATATCCGGTTTGGGTTCTGCTGCTCTGCGCCATGGTTCAAGGGTAGCTAGCTCCGCGGCGTCAAGATTTCTGACCATTGATCCTAGGGAGTTTGGGAATGATAAAAGGTTAGGTTAGTCACAGTCCTAGTCACAGTGATAGTTCTCGCGCCTCGCCCGAACTGACAGACAAGTGAGACTTTTTACTTCCAAGTTACCAGGCGTGGCGTTTTGCGTAACCTACGTCACAAACTGACTTTTGTCGCGGATAACCCAACGGCTGGCTTCTCCTTGGGCTTGACGTGTTTGCTCCATCTCAACTCAAGGCCATAGATAAGTTCCTGCACGTGGCCTTCATGGATAGTAGTACATCGACACAGGCACACGGGGGGGGTTTAGGAAGTAGAGATGCCTGCTTGTGATTGATGCTGAGCCCC